GTGACGGCCTTGAAATTCTAATTTAAAACAGAACAATGTAAAGAGTTTAATCTATTTTGAAGATGAAGCATGGGGAGGTGATGAGGAAGAAGTCCATTTTTACCAAAAGCTGCTGCGTTATTGTGTTTAAGTGATGAGGGTCCAACTTCAACATAGGAAAATGATTTAACAAGAGGTGCCTCGATATACAAGATCCAAGATTTTTGGGTACAGAAAAGGCAAAAAAAAGAAGAAAGAAAAAAGGAAAAAAAGAAAAAAGAAGAGAGAGAGAGTAAATTTATGAAGCATTTGGTTTGGTGATGATGATGGCAAGTAGGCCCCATATAGACCTCAAGATACCTAGGAAAAGGAATTAACAAGAGGCGCCTCTACATATGAGAACCAAAATTTGAGCACAAAAAAATTAAAGAAACAAGAGAAAAAAAAAGTATTAATTAGTAAATATATGAATGAAGCATTAATTTGGTTTGATGATGATGATGGGAAGTAGTGCAAGCCATTATGTATGTCTTGTCTTGGTATAAAAGCAAAAGCAAAGCTGCTTTTTTTTTTTTTTCCTATAATCATGACTCCTCGTCTATCACCGATCCCTTGAATAGAAATCAAGATTCTTGGACATGATGAATAATTAATTTCAAAGGTAAAAAATATATACCATACATATATATATTCAAATAAAAAAGAGCTAAAGTAGGCATATAATCCTAGGTAAAGCGTGCTTACTTTGTTATCATTCCGAATAATTAATCCTGCCGGTCCCGTGAATTAATATTCCTATAGCTAGCGAGCTAGTTCCCTCCTAGTACTAGTATATATTACCATCCTCAAGTACTCTGAATGTGCAAATTCACAAAACACAAACAAATTAAACGCAACATTATGGACGTCGTCGACCAAGACACTGGCCTCATTTTCCACCCCTATTACGTCCAGAGTCCCTCCACCCTCTCCCACGCCAACAGTAACACCGCCCCTCACCCTCAATACTCAATATCGCCCACTCCATCCGAGTCAAATTTCGTAAACGACAAGAATCATAATCCTCAACTCTCCAGGCTCACTCTCTCCCGCTATTCCTCCTCCCGCGGGTCCGACAACTCTTTCGTCGTCAACGACAGCAAGAAGATTTGCGGCGCAGCCAACCGTCTGGTCATCCTTGATGGATCAGTTAACTTTGCAGATGACAGTGATGATGAGGAAGAAGATGATGGTGAGTGGTTTTACGGAAGGAAAAGAACTGCAGGGTGGTGGTGGAGGTACTGTTCTTTTAGGACCTCCAATTCCTGCGCCTGGATTTCTTTGCAAATAAGTTGGAGGCTTCTGCTCAGTCTGGGTGTTGCGTTGCTCGTTTTCTACACGGCCACAAAGCCTCCGCCGCCCAAGGTTTCTATACAGGTACACGTCCACACAGCTAGCCCAAAATGTTACTTTATTGCCAAATTTTTACTTAAAGCCCAATAGGCCTAGTTTTTGAGTGACTCTAGTCTAGTTATAAAGCCCACAATTAATTAATTAATTAATTAATTAATTAAAGTATGTAATTAATATATATGTGTTGCAGGTTGGAGGGGTTGGTGAATTTGTACTTGGGGAAGGAGTTGATGGCTCAGGTGTCACAACTAAGATCCTGACTTGCAACTGTTCAATAAATTTAGTGATAGAAAACAAATCTAAGCTCTTCGGACTGCACATTCATCCTCCAATCATGGAAATGGCCTTTGGTCGCCTCCCTTTTGCATTCTCAAATGTATGTGTGCATTCAATTATATATATATGAACTAGATTTCTTATGGAATATTGATGATGAATTTAAAATTGATTACTAATGTGCAGGGTCCAAAACTGTATGTGGAGACCTACGGTTCAAGCCTGTTTAAATTATATGTAGGAACAAAGAATAAGCCAATGTATGGAGCTGGTAGGAACATGGAGGATATGTTGGAGTCAGGAATGGGATTGCCAGTGGTGATTCGAGTGAGGTTGAGCTCCAGTTTTCGACTTGTTTGGAAACTAATCAACCCTAAGTTCCATCACAAGGCTCAGTGTTTGCTACTCCTTTATAGCGTCTATGATGACAAACATAAAACCCAAAAATATAAGAGTACCTGCACCGTAGCTTCTTGATCACATATATATATATACAAAAATATTTAATGCTACCTCTTTTAATTAGTGTTGTGTTTTGATTCAGTTTTAATTTTGAATCTTCAAGTTTCAGCAATTATTATTATTTTTTTTTAATCCTTTTGAACAGAAGTACTAAATCAGCAATTAATTAATTTGCCGAAATTGTATAAGCTTAAAACCTATATTTAACTTGCATGCTTATTTATATAATCTATGATCCACAAACATTATTAGGCTAGCTAGTAACATGCGCATGCATGATTGCATTAATTGCGCATGTATATAGTTATATAATTAAAGAAGTAAAGTAAGGAAAAAAAATTTGCTTGAATTGCTTGCAATACACTTATTAACATTTTTTGCATAACTAATTACGAGATAACTAATTACAAATAGAGTTAGTGCCACATCCTGGATATTTAATGTTGCACTTTTTTAAGGAATAATTTATCATATTTTTACATTACAATTTTTTTAAAAATTTTACTCTTTCTATTATAAAATAATTGTTTTTTTTTTTTGAATTTTTTTCTCAAATTAAGAATTTAGGAATCATATTTATAATCCATTTAGTTATCTATAATACCTTTAAAAATGAAATAAAAGACAAAAAAAAAAATTGTGATTGGATAATTAATTAAAGTGAATTGATATTAATATAGTTAAAGTAAAAAAAATATATTTTTTTATTTTGAAAAATAAAAAACCAAACAATTAATTCAAAACAAATTTAAAAGAAAAAAATAATAGTTATTTTGATATAAAGGAGGTATTTTTTTTGTTTTTTAATAAATTAAATAGTATAATAGTCAATTAAAATACAAAATATACATTAATAACTGAGGTTATGACAATAATAACATCCACTAATTACACTTAAATTTATTTTTTATTTTTTTTTATAGAAAGTAATTAATAAAAGTCATTGACATTATACGGATTGAGATTACATAAGTATAATCTCTATAAAACTAAACCTAGACCACTACAAATAGAATCCAAAGTTATATTTACTAGTAAATAAGTGTTATTTTATAGATTAAATTTAAAGTTTAAATTTTAGAATCAACACTAGTTACACTACTAAAATTCCCATTTTTAGTTGCTTTCTATCAACAACATGAGTGTCTTTGTTGGTGATATAGATTTTCACCAACAAGGACTATATTGATGAAAGTTATATAGTACATTTTCTCACATAAAAGTGAGCTCCATTTTTAGTAATATTTCAACAACAAGAGGTATGTTCAATAACAAGAGATATGTTCAACAACAAGGGACATATTGCTGTAACTTTCCAAGCACCTAAAACATTAGCAACATATACCATGTTACTTATATCAGACATTACCAACAAAATCCAACATATACCATGTTACTTATGTCAGACATTATCAACAAAATCCAACATATACCATGTTATTCCTATATTTTTGACAACCAAAAATCAACAAGGAATATGTTGCTAATATTATTATTTTGACTAGTCGTTGGCCAAAACCATTATGTATACACCTTTCTCCTACCACTATATATACACCTTTAACACTTTTTAATTTTGTGCTATTTGTTCTTTTTATATTAATTAATCGCCATCAACACATTATTTTCTTTTCTTCATTTATAGGTGGCGTAGGTAATCATTTTCTAAGCAACTTCTTTTTTAAAAAATAAAAATAATTAAAAATAATGATCTATTTATATAAATTTTATATAATATATTGATATAAAATTTTAATTTTTAATTTTTAATAATTAAAATTTATTTTCATTTATAAAAGATAATTATTTTTTTATTTAAAATATTTTATCCAAAGAATCAAGAAGTTTTGGGTATAGGGCAGAGTCGACTTTCTATGTAAAGAGTCGAGTCTAAGGAAGCAAGCATAATGGACTCTAGAAAGTCAAGAATCAATTTCCAAATTCTAGAGATGTGAGAGGTTCTAGACACAGGACAAAGTCGACTCTCCATGTGAAGAGTCAACTCTTAATGAGAAAGATTCAACTCTCATTTTTAATAGTCAACTCTTAAGTAAAAAATATTTTATATTTCTATGTGAAATACTTTTATAAACTCAAAAGCATGTCCACATTATTTTTTAAGATAAATTAGAGATTTAAATCATTTAAATAAAAAGTGAATAATATAATTATATGAATTAATATGTTAAGTGTTAAGTGATTTTAAATAAAGTTACAAAAATCAACTAATTAATTAAATTTTAGAGATAAAAATGAATTTTTTTAAGTATATGAATCACATAATGGACAAGAAAGGTAATTTGAATTTTTAGCAATACGATATATGTTAGTGATAAGTTATGCCATTTTAAATTCAACCAAGTTTTAACAACATGGAATTTGTTACTAACTGGGGGAAAAAGTTTTTTAGCAACATGGTATATGACACTGAAGGCTTTATATATACTCCCAACCCAATCAAGCTTAGCAATGCCTTCATTTCCCCTCCCATTCTCTCCTGCATGATATGTTCTCTGCCTCCTCCATTTCTCAGCTTTTTTTTTTTTTGGCACAAATCGTCTATATTTCACTCATTTTTTATCCATTAATTATTTATCAAGTATCATTTGTTTATTATCTTTTATCATAAAATTCTCAAACATATATCAATAATTAAATTAATTTTCATCAACTTCTTCATTCTCTTGAGGCATATATTGTGATTTTATTGTATTCAATATTTTTATAACAATTATGTGATTAAGTATGTTTCAATTTATTTGAGAGTTAATAAAATTATAAATAACTATATGTATAATAATTATTAATTTTGGTATTTTGTTTGTTT